GGATATTTCCTTCTATACTTTTTAGCACGTAGCTATTTATTATTAGCATTGTTCTTCCGACGTCTGATTTCTTTTTAATTATAGGAAATGCGTTTTTCTAAAGTACATAAACTTTTGGGATTGACTGTATAGCCAATACATCCTTAAGAAGAAGCAAGTGAGACATTCTGTTTATCTTTACTCTCTCTCTACATGAACTCCCACTATGCGAAAATAGCAAATTGACAGTGTTAAACAGAGGGTATTGTGAATGTTTCGAATAATTTCTTTTTAAGTTTTTAATCAAACTGTCTTATTGTGTGTATCAAGAACTAGTCTAAAACACATAACTTTTACCAATTCTTGAGATCTTGATTCAATGTCCAAGCATCTTATAACATACAGTGTCTGAAAGCAGGACAAATGGTAAAAGAAGACACGTCGTTCGATTCAGTTATGATACAAGTTTATTGAATCACTGCATTCTCGCAAATCAACAATGTCAGTGGGCCCTTGAGTTGCATCATTATTTTTTTTCTCTTTTAATTAATCTTTTGAATCACGTATATCGTAAGGTACCAAAATTCCTCTCACGCCCGTGTGGCTCGTCTCACGTCTCTTTTTCGTTTCTCGTCAACAACGTAGCTATCGACAGAATAATGGATCGTGACGTCAATAATCATGATAATAATTAATGACAATAATTAATATAATAGCGATAATAGTAACAATAATAATGATAGTAATAATAATATACAATTATAACGAGATATGCTAACTATTGATAATAGTCAAAGAGATAACAAGTAAAATATACATATGATCGTTTTATTAAATTTTCTGCGAACGTATGGCAATCGAAAAGTAGCGAAACCAATTATTACGTATCTATAATCTTTTCCTCGTGTTCCGTTCTGGACGACATATGTACATACTATAATCTCTAATGCGTATTAGAAATTTTGCCTTTGATTCGTGATATGGCTCTCGTGTGACGCAAATGATTAATGATTAATGCGCGTAAGTTAGATTCACCTCCCACAGATAACCATCTCTTTCTCCGACGATTATTTTACAATTAGTCTCTCCCACACTTTCTTCTCCTCTCTCTCTCACTCTTTCTCTCTCACATACACACACACACACATTCTAGGATTCTTGTTTATCAAATTTTAGAGCTTTCTCTCTCATTCTCCCCTTCTCGATACTAATTAATCGATTCATATATTATGTATATATTTGCAATATATATACAATACATGTTTCCGTGACAGCGAATAGACTGTCGTAATACAATAGCTTTGAATTATTTATACGAACGATCTTCGTAACAAAAACCACCTCCGATCCGTTCATAATTATTATTCATAGAAATTTCATTGCAAACACGTGTGTATGTTTCGTTTCTAAGATGCCTGTCGGTCGTGATCCGTTTTTATCGTCCCGATCTCACGCAGCATCGAATTCTACCTCCATCGGATCGATTTTGAAAAAAGGGCATCTTTGATTCTTTCGATCAGGACGAAATCGGCCTGCGGCATCGTATTCGATTCTCACAGTTATCACACAAGTATGATCGTTTCCCTATTTTCATCCTAACATTAGCCGTCGATTAAGTACTCGAGATGGTACGTGAAAGTGCTAGCATGTAGGTACAAAGAGGAAAATATATAATATATATATATATAATATATGTATGTAATATATTATTAGCGCAGGATGAAAATAGCGAGTCTTTTCTTTGTTTGGAAAAATATGTGGCTTCGAAACGGTTTAATCAGCTTCGAACGTGCAACGCGTCGCGAAAAGGGGCGCGGAGCCAACAGGACTTTAGACAATTAAATCGTGACGATCGCGGCCTATGACGCCTTTCCTTTCTTCCTTTTCTATTTTTCCTTTTTTTTTATTTACAAATTCACCTAGATATACATACAAGCTATGCCTGAGGCTAGAAAAATGCGATCGCTCGAGCGCAGGGAAGTCAATCCTCTCCATACATACCCGGGTTGTTCCGAGATTTTCCGGGCCGACTTCCGTGGCAGCGCGTGAAAAAAATCGACGTACACACGTTTCCCTGCGTGTACGTCGCGCAAAGACAATTTTGTTGTTCGTTTCGTTAAGATTAGATCTCCGAGGGAAGCGAGCCAAAAATGTATACAAGTATTTCTCCTTGTAAAAACTTCGTTATCTCAATTGGCGAACGTTCGCCTGATTTATCCTAAGCTGCGTTAATTGCAAAAAATTGTTCACGACCCCGAGCAAAATGCGTTGCGTCGGTAAAATACATGTGCCTAAGTACGTACGGACGTTACGTACCGGACTCTCCGAAATCGCGCGTGCCCGAGAAAGAGACCTCGTTATCATCAGACCGCTCCCCGCTCGTAAATAGACTCTATCTGATTTTTACGCGTTTCACGATAACAAGAGTAAAGTATTAATTCATTTTTCCCAATAGAATTCTTACGTCCGATCGAAGTTCTTTCTTATTAATTTATTTCGTCTCTACTCCACTAAACAACGCAGTTAGGTTGTCGCTCGAAGATAAACGTTTTATCGTGGCTTCTCCGTCGCCACCGATTCCGAGGTCAATATTTCTACTTATATTTCTTCTCCTTCCTCTTCTTCTTGTGCGATTCTCAATCGAGAGAAAAAAATTCTGATCTCGTCGCCACGATCGAAAATGTGACTCGATCTCCTACTACTTAATGTTTATATAAAAATTGGAGGAAAGTGTACTTTTTTTTTATATGTATGTACATTTTTCACGTGGAAGGCAAGGCTACACGAAAAAACTTCGGAAAACGAAGTGGATCTCCCAATAGGATCTCTTGCACGATTACAATTATATTTGTTGTTTTATATCGATATCCACATAACACCCATACAATTACATGGACACATCGATAATACATGAGAATACATCTTAACATCGTTAATCGTACAACAACGTATGTAATTCCGTCCAACTCTGAAATTCGTAGAAATCGTAACAATTGTATAGAAACTCTAATTCCGCCTCGTTTATCCCTCACCCACGCTTCGCGCTCCGTCTGACCCGATATCTTCTTATACGAATCTACATCGAAACGTCGAAAGATTGGTAAACGTTTTGAAAAATACATAATATGTGTCTGCTCGAATCGTTCGCTTCGCGTTTTCCCCGTCGAGAATTTCACCGGACAATGATAATTCGTTTTTCACGCTACTCTAGCTGCTCTATTATAGCTTCGTGTATAAAAGTCGTTCTGGTGTCCGCGCTCGTGCGATTCGATCGTCGAGATAGAATAACGGGAAAAGTGTAGAGAAATTCTCGTGTGTGCGCACCATGTTACAGAGCCCGATCGATTCCGAGACGCGACCGGCCCGTACAAATATTAATTATTATTACATTATTAAAATATTCCGTGTAAAAATAGGTATGATACAGGCTACGGTGTACCCGCCGTGAGTTTGGGCACACTTTGCGAGAAAAAAACAAGCCGCTCTTCTCTTTTCTCTCGTCCATCGTCAGTGATCCCGGTTTCGTTTCGAAATGGAACCGCGTCGACAAATCACTCCGGAAGGATCCTAAATACAATTTCGACCGCGATTCCTCCACCAGTCTTTGTGCTCGGTCCTCGCGTCAAGATATTCGCAAAAATTCTCTCTTATTCCTATCTTCGTCCGCGTTTCCTGTCCCGATACGAACATCGTGGTCCTATGGTTTTCTTTCCATTCACTAACCGTGGGACCAAGGAGTCGGATCGCTCCAAAGCCGTTTTCAGCGGTTCTTCTTCATGATTTAGTCTCACGAGGCGACGCGATCGCCGCCTCGTTCTCATCGTTTTGATCCTTGTATTCGGTGACGACACGGGGCGTCGCGACGCTCCCGGGTCTCAGGTCACGTCCACAACGAGTCCGTGAACCCAATCGTCGGCTGGCTGCTACGTCAGCAGCTTGAAGAACATCAGGGCTAGGGATATGTTGATGAACAGCACCAGCATCACGAGCTGTTGCTGGGAGAACCAGTCCTGAAACGTTTGCGTTATTAACAATTAAACACCTGTTTCTACCACCACCGTTTATAAATTCAATTGTTAGACATAATTTTAACGGGCTGAGTTTCCAAAAACTTTTTTCACTTCGGTTATTTTCTGCTAGAAGACATTTCGTCGCTTCACAAATTATTCAATTGTAATTTTCGACAAACAAAATTGTTACTCGACGCAGAGCTTTAAAAAATTAAAATCGTATTGTGCACCTGTGTAGTTACAGTGTGACCTAAAACGTCGTGCGGTACTTGAGGATTATTAAGTATGTACAACGTCTTGCAGTTTCTCTGTGGCGAAAACGTTAGGAAATGCATAGCTACGAGAGTACTGACTAAATAATGTAATAACTTTATATTTTAGAAGATTCGTGATGCACGGTGATGTTGTTTCAGCGTAAACGATGTAAAATATAGAGAAAGCTGGAATTGCTTACAAATCGAGTCGCACGTGTAGGCAACGACTGTTTGGCATAATAATTACGAAAAATATATAGACTGTGATATGATGTTTACTATTAAGTAATGCAAACAAACGCGATACTTTGATTCATGGACTGTACATCGTGTACGAACGTTTTCATTAGCTTTTAATTTGATGATGCAAGCAGTGTAAACAGAAATTTATCGAAGAAAAGCATTACGCATTACGAGATACCAGGAAAATCGATGCATTCCAAGAAAAAAATAGACGTAGTCGTTCGACGAGGTATCTGCAGGGTGTAACCACTCGGGTGGCACAAGCCACGAGGAAACGAATTTACATGAAACAACAAATCCAAAAAAAAAAGAATAATGGTTTTTCGTTCAGGGTTTTAGCTCCGAGGAAATCGATTTTAAAAATTCGTGAACTTTTCTTGAAGTATGCGTACGTTTTCATATAATCTTACTTATGTTTATGTTCGGATCTTTTTCTACGATCCTATTTGTTCATTTAAAAGGCAGATTCATAATGATTTCTTTATTGCTTAATTATCTACTTTGGTATTCATAGGATATTTACCCCGCGGGCGTACCGGATATTTAAAACGACCGAATCGATTAAGTATTCGTAATCGCGTATCGATATACTACGTATACTCGTGTGCGACCTACTCTAGCAATCAACCGATAAGAAGTTGTGCGTTTTTGCGTCGCCAATTCGAGCGTGAGATTCCGTCTCCCCTCTTTCATTTTTTCCAAGGTCGTGTCACCCAGCTTTATTCTACGTTGTACACAACGTTAAGCTCAAGAGCTCGTCGAGAATATTGGCCTTTTGTTTCACTTATCTATGTTGAGTAGACTCTCCTCGGTGACTAATAAGTACACACTGCAGGTATTTCCAATCATGTCGATCTGTGAGAATCGACGATCGTTCATTCATGAAAAATCGTGACGGTCTGGTCATCAGCCAGAAAACGAAACGGCACCGGATTGGTTGAGATTTTGATACCGATTAAAATTATGCTTTATATGATAACGCGATTGATAGAAAAATAAGGGATGGTGATCTGGATACTCACTTTAACCTGAGGACTGACCAAGTACAACAGAGGATTGGCCCTGAGCCTTTCGCTCTCGTCGATCTGCCTGCGGATCTCCTCTCTCCTCATGCTGCTCAGGACACTGACTTCCTCCCTTGACAGCGGTGCTGTCGCTGTCAATTGAATCGGTTGTGCCACGTCCGGCAGTGATTTCTTTCGTTGAAGGGACACTGCCGCTGCGGGCATCGCCTGCACGAAGAAAATAAATGGGAAGCAAAGAGAGAAAGAGGTGCATCTTGAAAACTATCGATCACGGAATATCTTACATTCGTCAATAACGGGCAAAAGAAAAATTATAATTATACTATAAACAATCTTTTCATATAAATCTTACAATAAAAGTTAATAAGCATGCAATTTAATGACATGAGATTTCCTTTGTCCGTTAGTGATTATATATTATGAACTAATTTCGGACTTCATAAACAATTAGTATAGAAAGTAAATAAAAATCATATCAGGAATTCAGCAATCAAGTTCTCCATTTAATGTATCCGTATTATCAATACTGATTCACGTGAATCATCGATCATTGTTAATATTGGAACGTCGTTAATCTGATAATCGCAGTGATGTTAAAGAATGAAGCCAACGTCGATTAGTAACGAGGAAAATATGTATCGCCTCATGTCCGAAGATCGAGGCTCAAAGTTCGTCGGTAGAATGTGTTTCAAGGCCGTAGCGGCGTGTTAGAAGCAGATTTAATTTTTTTTGGCGCAATGTCGAGCTCCGAGGGACGTTTACGTGTTCATTAGTTGCACATTTTGAAGAAGCGGGAGAAAACGAGGTGGCGAATAAGGGAGAAAGACAGGGAATCCTTGGACCGGTTCCAAAACGCGTAACCTCGACTCGTAATCGTACGTAATGATGATGCAAAGACCGCGAATTCTAGCTCGCGTTCACGCGTTCCGTTAACCTACGACACTAACTTCTTCATGGGAAATCGATAAGAACCGGACACTGAAAAATTGTCGAAATATTTTCACAATTTTTTCTCGCCGATGCATCGATACCTATAAATACTGTCTACAAATAAATACCTTATCGCTTTGACGAAACACATTCGTCTACTGCAACGGACGATAAAAAATCGTTTCGAAATTTCGAATCGAATTATTTCTGAGTAATATCTGACGAAATAAGTATTTTCAATACTATTTAATATTTTATAGTCTGTTGAAATGGTATTCTATCCAGCTACGAATCGAATTTGAGATTGAATCCGAATGTTTGCTCAACGATTGCGAACGTAATCGTTGCAATAGGCGTAAAATTAGACTCTACGACTGCCCTCTCCGACGATAATTGCCATCGATACGGTTTAATTACCCTCGATGGTAGTGACTCGTCTTATTTCGCTCCGAGTATCTACATCTACCGCTACGGGTCATCGAGACTCTACCGCGAGGTTTCGAGGCTATTCCTCCGATACGCTGTAAACTACACCGATAATGTCGTACGATCTCCGAGAAGGAAAAGCCTTGCTTTCATTCCCGATGCACTTTCGAGCTGGGGACTCCCATCCCCAGCGATATCGAACTAATCGAACAATTTGCCCCCCGTGGCAGTTTCTTTATCTTTTTACGTGATTCAAGCTGAATCTCAAAGAGCCGATGCTTCTCAAGTTTAACTATTTCTTTTACGTTCTGGGGCTTGGACTGCCTATCAATGTGCAATGCAAGATCGAACTTTTTGCTACTTGAAAACTTAACAAGTCGTACGAATCGTTGATCTAGATAGGTATCCCAATTGGGGCGGGTCAGGAGCTCGTTCTGAGGCTCCGAAACATTTTTTTGCCCCTGTTCATACCTCCACAGGAGGCGCGACGATCCATGACTCCGAGGCCCTCCTGGCCATCAGAGCAGGGCTGCATAATAGCGCCTCTTCCTCTTCGGACTCGGGCTCGGACCACAACATTTTTCTCTCCTCGTACGAAAACTCCGACAGATCTCAAACGTCGACGGTTGCGAGCACGTAGTTGGAAACTTCGTCTCTAACACCGGTCGATAGCTCGCGTCTCTCTGAACGACTGTATTAGAACATTTCGTTTGCGTTTCCCAACGCGTCGGTGACCCCTCGCGGTTTATCTTTCTCCAGATGCTCGGTTATCGGTCTCTCACGGCAGATGGAAAATGGAAAATTCGGACCCGCACGGCCTCCTGGTGAGGAAGCCAGGCCGCGGACTGAACGACTGAACGGCCCTGGCTCGTACGACCGAAATAGAGAGACACCCCACTATTTTCACGTCGAAATAGCATCGTCGTCGACGACGACGACGACGGTGAGCATACACCGAGCGTCGCAATGCTCAGGGCTTTGGACCGAATGCCAGAGCCTTGTCGATCCGATGCGGTGCTCGTTGATTTATGACAGGCCTGTCGCCGTACTCGCCCAGCGAGCTTCATCTCGGAGTCGCGCATATTTTTCGCGTGATCCATCCTATCGGACGATAGGTATTGATCGGTATTTTTAGTCGAGCTCCCGACCGGATGTTGATGCCCGAGAGGACTTCTCCTGGCTGCGTAAAGAGATTTGTTTGCTTTTATTTCAGCATTGAACTTGGATGCGTAACGCGTCGTTTATTTTTGTCGAATTGGTTCGTCCGCGTCCGTTGTTGGTAACGTAACGAACCGTCCTTTGAATTAACGATATTTAAAAATCCTTTCTTGCGGGCTATGACTTATTTAGTGATCAATTCTTCAAAGTAAAATATATATGATATCAGCTAGAAAAATTCGTTTTAAATATCAATTTTAATTTTATCATTGCAATACTTCCTGGTTTTCGTATTTTGCATATTTTCCACTGTTGTGCTTTCTGTATGTTCAATTCTTCTATGAATTAAATACATTAACTTCGCACAGTGCACAACCCCGGCTCGACTAATTATCGTATTTTAACTCTGATCGCCGCAGTGCACCAATATGTAATTAGCCTTGTTAGTTGCGGCACCGTTTCTCCTCGCACGCATGTATGTATACTTTATTGCGGGCGGTCTCTTGAACTCTGTTCAATATGCGAGTTAACCAGCGATGTCGAATATATTTTTCTCCATACGCTTAATTCGATACCGATACTTTCGTGCCGTGTGCAAAAGTACAATCGACATCTAGCTAACATCCGGTGCTCGAGCGAACTGGTACGTATTAATTAAGAAATAATTAATCGCTCAGTGTCGTTGACTCGACGACTCGATATCATCGATCCCGTTCAACCGATGGACAAACGATCGTAAAAATGCACAAACAATTTTCTAGATGGTCCGACGGCACTGTTTGCAATGCTAATTTCTTGTTTACGGCAATGTAATCTGGATCGAACCGCGCGCATCGATAATTGATGAATATTTCAGCTGGGTGCCAATTAAAACTCGAAATCGATGCAAAGTCGCGAATTAATTATCAGACAGAATTGATTTCTTTCGTTCTGTTTACGAGAATTTCCTGTCTCGTGCAATTCAAATAGAGAGGATAGATGTAACGATAATATTTTCTGAAACTCCCTTCCTCGCTCGAATTCAGCTACGAAAATACCGCGTTGTTTTCAGGCCAATACGTATTGTCTCGACAATCATCAGCATGCATTGGATATATAAATTCCTTGGCAAGTTTTGAACGCACCAATTAAACCGAATTACCCTGGCATTTTTTCTTTTACTGAATTCCTGAAAGATTATTCAACGTCGTAAAATAGTGTATTCCTATGTATTGCCAATGTGTCTTTAAACATTTCTAAGTTCGTGTACTGATGTTTCGTGAAATGTCTAATGGACTTTCGTTTTTGTGTTTAGCGATGTATGAACTACTATGTATGTACTAGTTAAAATAATTGTCGAGATCAAGGAATAATGTGGGTATCGAAAATGTTAGGCCACGCGTCCTCCTAATCGACATGCTTTAATCTGTCGGCCAGTTAGCAGCTTTTACATATCGTTATACATAAATACATTCAATACATCGAACCAACGTTTGTAGTTAGTCATCGTTGTGTGTGAGTAAGAAGGATCTCTCCCGTCGATAACTCTGTATCGACACGAGATCGTTCCTCGAAATGCAACCTGGAAGTACATTGTTTAGTGGTGTGCATCGACTATACCTCGTTTATCAATCTGTTTTCGTCTACAGACTCTTCAACTACTACGTTCTAACACGACGCTATGAATCGCGTTTATTATTAAAATACGTGAAATCTCGTTATATTCGTTTTCAATTACGATTTCACGGAGCATTGTCGCAAACAGAATTTGAGCACCTTGTCGAAAATCATTTTCCCGGTTGGTACCGTCGATCGAATAATCTACCGGGACAAATCAGTCGCGAGAGTCACTATCGTTACGTAACACGTATCTAGTTCATTGGAACTTATTATAAAAGAGAAAATGATCGAATTTGTGCTATGCTCGAGTAGAATCACGTTCCATTCTAGTTTTTTCATGAAAAGCTTGGCACTTGAGCCAGACAGTTACACGAGATATCCGCGCGTCCGATACAAGCTCTCGCGTAAAAAATATGCGCAGTAGTTTTAAGGGAACTTGGGAGACGTTCAATTCGACGCCGAGCTCGATCCTCTAAAAATCAGTTTACGTTTGTCCGCGCAATTTTCCAGGTTTCATTCAATCGTATCGCAAGATTCTGCTTCCGTTTGAAAGTCCGTTTCGTTTATTTTTAGGCACGACCATTGTTCGAGGTACAATCGCGACCACGTTGAATCGAAATAGTTCCGTTCGAAATAAGCCTTTTTGTCCCTCGGCGTAAAAAAAGCTTTCTCGTCGATCCCTCGTTCGCGTAGAAAGGGGGTTTTTAAAAATTTCTCGTACAAATTCTTAATTACCTCGAGCGTGTGTCTGTGTACGTGAACAGCTTTGAGCAATGTGGCCATTTTTATGTCACAAATGTCGAAATGACTGCGTTTGACGGACGTCGTAGAGGAGTATGACCTCTGTTCGTGGGTCAAATGGAAAATTCAACGTGGCGCGCACCGAAGGCGAGCGTAGTAATTGTACTTGTGAAAGACTGAGTTTTAAAATAGAAAATCCTGTTAAGCCGCGTATCTGCTTGTAGCATACCTTCGTATTCTATCATCGTTACGTATCATTATAATTAGGTAAGCGTATCATCGACGTGCATAAATCATTAAAAAATAGTTTATTCTTGTATTTCATTAAACCATGTATAATAGGAATCTTTTATTTGACGAAGATTATTGAATTAATGCGAGCGTTGCTTTTAGAAAATCGCAATTCATTTTTATATGGTTCTCTTATAGTGCCATCAGTAAGTTTTGTTATTTTCTTTTAAAATGATACGTAATGGTAATCCGATACAACGATAAGATACGAGTGGACACGCGCCTTTATCAGGATATTTGTTACGCGTGTTTCTGTGTCAACTGTGCGCGAGAAACCAGTATGCATAAGGGTCGCGCCTAATAATGCACAAGCTTTACGCTTTTCTTGCGTCGTTCTACGTCGACGGAAGAAAGTTTTACACGCGTTCACGGTATGTCGCGAAAATTAACTTTATACATAATGCACGTTTGGTACCGAACTTTGTGCTTGTCAAGTGAGAACAGATGATAACCCCTTCGAGAAATCTTGCAATCGGAATTGGGCAAATACATGGTCAACGTGGTCGAATGTATTACAAAATATTTCCTCTCAACTTAAAGTTATATATTATAAAGTAGATTAAAATTTTTTATCAAACTCGTCAGCGTAGTATCACCAAGCTTAAGTTTTGTCACGTTTTACATTTCCAAGGAAATATCGTTCCTTTCGTTAATAAATATATGTATATATATATAGTAGATATATCTTACGATCTCGAAAGGGTTACCGTATGTATTCGTACAATATTACTCATTTAAATAGTTCTCACAGTAAAATTTTTCTTGTACATACTTATATCTATGAAGTATATATAATATATATATATAATATGTGTGTATATATATTAAATCTCGTGGAACTGGTACAGTATGTCATTAAGACTTTACGGAGTGATGGCACGTCATAGAAGCATGCGTTAGAAAAATAATGTATCTGATCAAAAAACAGGAGAAAAACAAGCGGCGTGGAGGTGGAGGGTAGAAAAGATACATCCCTGGCAATCGATGGAATCACCGAGTACACAAGTAGACGTGAACGTGGGACAAGGGGTAGAGAGAAAACGTGACTTTCGGCAGGGGTTGAAATACGAATTTCAGACGGTACAGATATAGTACATAGGTAGACGCGAGAATGGTGAATGCGAGAGACAGAATCGTGACAGGAGTTAAGGTGTCCGCCTTGGTCGTCGAGATTGTTGAGGGATGAAGTCGAGAAAGAGGTACGAAGCTTGTTAGAAAAAGAAACGGGCGAATAGCAAGGTGAGAGAAGATACCGGTCCCCGCCTCCACACCGCGCGAGGCTTACCTTCGAATTCCGTGATTTTCTTAATTAATGGACGTAACATTATTACGTTACTTCGCTTAATAAATGGACGTAACACACCATAGTTGAAAATCATTCGCTCTTTCTGTGCATATGTATGTACATAGTAGGTGCGTGCCTGATCTTGCGACCCGTGGCCGACTCGTAGGATATTTCTTAATTAAAATAAAGAATGCGGTTAAAAAAAGAATAGAAGATCGTACAAATGCTCCGAATTCTCGGTCGTGTAGTCCGCTTTTTGCTCGAGCTATCGATACACAGCGTACGTTTATAATCTACCTAAGATCAAAGTGAATGTTCTCTTATCTATTTGTCTGGAAGCATTCAGAATATAAATTACGTATTCGTACTTTGCTCGATATTCTTAAATCTTTACGACGACTGTTGCTTTTCTCGAGGAAGAATGTGTACCGTAACAAGTTTGAGTACAAATTATTATTTGCGTCGCCCTCTCAAATATTCGCTCATCCATTCGACTACGTCTATTGTGCTTCTCATAGAAAAATAACTCTGTCTCTGACAAGAAGGCGGAAAGAACATTGCGCTCGCTTATTGTTCAGTGCCCGAAATTCGATTCAACCCTTTCAGTCTCGATAACGTCATTGTACATCGTACACTAAAATTGAAAAAAGGAACCCTTTATCTCTCTGCACCCGATACAAGAAAATCATTGCCAAAGCTCGAACATTGAGCCGAAAGGGTTATCGATGATCAACGCGATTTATCTAGTTATAAAGTCAATAGTAGCTAATAACACTCTAAGACCAGGTACGTGTTCTTTGCTAATTCACACCTTGAGAAATCTTGGAATCTGGCGCAGTTAGGGCAAGGCTAGGCAGAACGAATGCATAAACGTTGTACGTACGTGTATGAGCATACGTCCATATACCTGAACGATGATTTATGCTCGGAAGAAGTCGGGCAAATAGAACCTTCCTACGGTAAACATTTCTCAATTTGCATTGAGGATTTTTACGAGAGGAACGGAATGTGTTCGTAGCTTAAATCGCCAAGTATTTATACCGCGTAGAAATGATTCCAGCAATAAATCATATTAACGTTTGTAGCTTTTATGCCAGTAGACATTAATCTATTTTTTAACAACATATTCGGTCGACTATTTCGTTTCTCGCTCCCGAGAATGGAGCATTCGACATTCGTTCTGGTTATAGTCTTACCCTAATGCCCCGATCTGGTAGCACGTGCGATCGTTTTCGTTGAGAGTGAATGGTCGATCTGAAAATATTTTCTTTCTCGAACGCATACCAAACAACGGATCCGGTCTTCTCATTCGGTTCCCGTGTTAACGCGGCATTCAGGATGCTCGAGTATAAACTGTGAGGTACCCGTTCGCTAAACCGTGACCCTACGATACCATCGTCAAACGAATCGAGCTCGTCCAAACATCCAGAGACTTTTAGCCTTTCACGGCCGGTGTCCAGACGCTTATTATTATTCGAGTCTTCCGGGTACGAGTTGTATCAGAAAGGATCGTTATCTGCTACTTTGTTGGCTATATCTCTTTCGGATACGACATGCACCCGGAAGGCTTAAATAATAACGACTGCGCCCAGAGTGTGTTCGATCAAAACATCAGCGATTCTGTAGAAACTTCAGCTTTGGATCGCGTCTTTCGAATCGCGTTTGTCAAAAGGACATGAAATCGAGTGTACTTTGGAATGTAGCAAACTTCGCAGTGAACGGTTAATAAATTGGATGGTATAGGTGGAATGTTAAAAATACGTCGTTCGTTAAAGCTCGGGAAAGTGTGAGTAACGCACGATGTTCGCCGCGAATAGACCCCAGATTCTAGATCCCTCAAACATACATTCTCTGTTCTGTTCGGAATTATAAATGCAAATTCTATCTCGTTTCGGTGAAGGAGCATGCAGAACAGTTGCACCCTGTTGTAAGCGGTAATTTAGAGCATAGATCGGAGTACCCTGAAGATAACATTAACGCCTATCACGTCATGAACACCAAAGACACGCTATTACACCGAACGAAAATACAGTCTACGTTTATAGAGCGTACGATCCCATCGGGCGATCTTGATCAACGAATCGGGTTTCGTTGAACAATCGGTTAACGCGGTTGCCGCGCTCTCTTTCATCCCCGATAGGAATCGGACGAGAAATCACCCTTTCCTGCCCTCGAGCACATCCCCCTTTTGTTCTCGAATCCAGGGTCTAGTCACGAACCGGCGCCCCCACTCGAAACCCTGTTTCGGTCTCGCCTCGAAACGCTACGCGTACAGTTACCTTCTGTGTATCGCGATGTGTTCGTATTGTACATTATTTTTATTTATTAATACTTATACTCAGAGGGTTGCGCGGCCCTTTGACGTTGCGGCGAAGGCGGGGACCGTCCGGCCTGCGTCCTGGGATGGCATGCACAGAACACAGCACAAAATGCCACACAGTTACACAGACAAAAACAAATCGATAGAAAAAAGATACAAGTAGAGAAAACCTGGCCCGTCGGCCCGGTCTCGGGATCGAGATGGATGGGGTATCGATTATTGCCGTAACGAGGGCGGAGATCGTTCGAAGGGTGAATTAGAAAGCGTTAAGTTCGTGGAAGAGTCGTTGCCTGTCGAGCGGAAATATAGCTCGATAGTTCGAACCATTCGTCGACTCGCAGGCGAGAGACCGTACCCCGGTTCACGAGAGAAAGTTGATCATACGAGAGGATTACTGAGAAATCGTGATGAGAAGCAAAAAGTCTTATACAGTGCTTACCTAATTACGTTCGCTAAACTAATGGCTATGCGTGAACTAAACGCAGCTAATATTCAAATGCGAGAAAAATAATTGTACGTATAATAGGTACGATCGTTACGTTCGCTAGAGATTGAGCAGAGAATTAAATTGTACGGTGCGACTAATGAGCAGGCAGAGTAGAAAATGAATAATGTAAGTATTCGACAAGTGAGAGGAGCCGGAAGTAAATTTGACAAGTGAAGGAGAATAAGAGTAGACGAAATTTGTTAATTGGAAAATATCTCGTCGACGACATTCGGGTTCCGTTCTCTTTTCGCTATACGCGAGGCTCGGCTAAATGATTACGTCGCCCCAAAGGTATTTCCTTTCATGTGAAAACTCTCTCTCTCTCTCTCTCTTTCTTTTTATAGCTCTTATTCCGAGATAGTTGGCTATAAATCATTAATGCTCTCGCGGGAGCCGTGAATGAACGAGTAACAGCGGACGATTGTTATCTTGTTTAACATCTGCCAGTATTTTTGTACGTCTCTCACGGAAAACCGTCTCAATGCGTTTCCCCGAAAAAGTTGTCGCGATCGTCGAACACTTTCCGATTGAGATTGTTTTTTTCACCGCGGAAACGTCACCATATTCCCAGTGATGCATCAATGGGAAAATCGGGCGGAAAGGGTCTCGCGAATACATTTGGATCTTTCGTAGGAAACAATCTCTGTGCTTACAAAAGGCAGTGCGTATAATAGAAGATATCTTACAGTTTGAGAAATGCAGAACATCGTCGATTAAAATCCACATAGAAAAAACTGACAAAGGGGAGACACGAAACGATATTATTCCAATTGGAACAGACACTAAGTGGGATATTAGGTACACAGCGTCAAAGTATATTATATACAACATATGAGGTACTGTTTTTCGAATGAAATTCAGATCCAAAGGGGTCGCTTGCTCCCTTTCCGGACGCATTAGTGCGTGGGCATTGGAGTCGCGTGACGAGCAGAGAGAGACAGGATAATGCGAATATAATATCTACGTATAGCATATGGTGGACTGAGTAAAGTACGCAAAAGAGGAGAAAGACTCACCTTCGACGTGCCGCCGCCGCCCCCGGGTACGCCTCCGCCACCGGATGCGGTCGGTCCGCGTCCGGGTGCGACGTAGAGGCTTTCTGTTCGCTTAGGCTGTCCCTGACTCGGCAGAATATCCTGTCCGAGGTTACGGTTCTTCAGGAGGGCGCCCTCGAATTGACCGGAAGTCGAGGCGGCGTACGTGGGCGTCGCTGCGCCGCTTCCGACCACCGATCCGTTCAACGGTGTGCCCGATCGAATCGCGCTCGGTGCTCTCGTTGATCTGTGCACACATTTCGATCTCTTCGGTATACTATTTTATACGAAGTCAATCAACAAGGACTACCATTCGAAATGAACAATTATTTCCCGATTGAAACGGAACTTTCTATGCATTTACGATAAGACGGAGTGAACTTGTGAAATGATATTCGATGATTCAACTCGTAATGATATCGATTAAGAATAGATCTCGATTAATTAAATAAAAAATTCCACTTATAATTAATTTGATTCATCAAAATGCAAGGATAGAGTGAAAGATTGATGAATTGTTTTTAAGAAATCTTTGAATCACCTGTCGAGCACGTCCTGGGGCGGATTCGGGACGATTTTGTCAACGGACGGTTGTCTTGATCCAGTCAACCTGGAATGCGCTCTGGCGTAACGATCTACGGAACTATCGCGGCTGGGCGGCCTTTTGTAATGATCTAGTCTGTAAAATGGTAGATTAACCAGGATCAAGTCAATGTATCAGCAGAAAATTGCAGGCAAAATTTTTAATCGCGTTAGATATATTATGTGTGATCGTCAGACTTTCGAACCTGTCGTTCAACGTTTGACCGATAGTATTAGGTCGATCCTGAGGTGTTAGAACTCTACTGTTTCTTCGTATACTCGTTGCACTCGTTGGTCGTTGCGCGTCGCCGTCTGGCTGGTACTGTTGCTGGATTTGTTGTTGCTGCTGCTGCTGCTGTTGTTGCGGCTGTTGTCCGTAAAGTTGTTGGGAGTTGTATTGATTCATCTGACCAGGCCCGTATTGATTCGGCAACGAAGTCTGAAAGTAGACGTCGTAACGTTTTAAAGACCGTACACGATCATTCCCTGTCCTGTATTCAATGAAAACATGAAACAATCCAATTAAAATTAACACCTGCTGATTAGGATACGGCTGCACATTCTGATACCCTTGTTGTTCGATCAGCTGTTGCTGCTGATACAAATACTGATCGCCCTGGGATGGATTCATAGGCTGATATTGCGGCTGATTATAGAGACTACCTTGAACTGGGTATTGATTCTGCGGGGCGTATTGGCCAGCCAAGAACTGGCTCGGTGGCTGATACTGATTCGGTATACTGTTAGGGTACTGTGCCTGTTGGACAGGGCTCTGAGCCATCGACGAGGGGTATTGCATTTGATAGTACTGATTTTGACCGCTCAAGGTAGTCTGGTTTAACTGATTCAGAGGTAGCTGGTTGACCAATTGAGCTGGTGTCACCTGATCCGCTAGCTCGCTCTGCGACAGCTGGTTCTGCGGCAGCTGATTCTGCGACGGCAGCTGATTGCTCAACAGCTGATTCTGAAGTTGGCTCTGCGGCTTCATACTGGCTCTCCTGATCGACTGCATCACGTTGCTAGCGGTCATGGAAGCGTTCGTCGGCGACGTAGTATCCGACGACGGACTCTTCATGGGCGTGGAACCTGGCTGATCCACGTTGGTCGTTTTATGAAGGATACTCTTCGCCGGAACTGTGTCCTGAGGTGGCGGGACGTACTTAGGTATTTCCCTATTTCGTAACCTTTCCAACCCGGGCTGCCGGAAGTCCGGCGCGAACTGTTTCGCCGTCTGCTGAGCCAGTTCCGAGTCTTCTCTCGCTTGTTCTGCTCCAGCGTCGGCCAGCTCGGCTCTGCCTCGCGCAGTCGCCGTTCTCGAGATCGCGATGTCCGCCTTCTGAAGGGCGAATTTACTCGCCCTTTTAGCCGCGTTCACCGCCGCCTCTATCCTCTCGCGGAACTTGGCCGATCTGATCAGGAACAGGTGCTTCTTTTTTTGGCTGGTGATTAGCACGTTGTTTTTGTATTTCCCTTCCTCCTTGGTACCATCGCGAAACGTCGTCACGCCGTAACCGTACTTCCGGTTGTTGAACCACTCTCCCTCGTACCGAAGGCCGTCGCTACGTTCCGATATACCGAACCCCGTTCTTTTGTCGTTCTTCCATTCACCCAAATAGGTCTCAGTCACAGCGGCATCCATCTGCTCGTCCTGTAACCGAAATTCCGTTGTATCCACGTTTAACAATAACCACATTTTCGACAGTTCATGAATCGAATCGTTTTCAACGAATTCGTGAAAGATTGATTCAAAATTGAAATCGTACCTCGATGACAAAAGACGCATTACTGTCTGTGTGAACAGATGCCGAGGCTTGACTCTGTGAGCTTTCCGTCGACATCCACGAAGCCGAACTCGTGTTGCTTCTAATACTGCCGCTGGTTCCGTGTTTTTCCAGGTCACCCGTGCTCCTCTGCTTTCTGATTTTCAGCCCCTGAAATCATAACCGATGGTCCTTTAAATTTCCGCTTCAAAGAGTCGCTAAATGACTGCTCAAGCAGCTTAGCTGCTTAAAATACCCAAAGCAAAGACGGATTTTATGTTATGCGAGTTAATCTATTCGTTATTACTAGATTACGGCTAAAATTGGAACGCTGCGTACAATACATAGAATTATACGTAATGTCAAACGCAAGTGAATATCATTTAAACATAAATGATAAAAGGAACTTCTATCTGAAATGCATTTTTTTAATGCACTCTTACAAATGATTTATTTTGTATAAGAAAACTACGGTAGGTCACGCTCGAAAAAATTTCAATGCACGTAAACGTGTAAAAAAAAAAAATAGAAAGGGTAGGATTAAGGTTACACTTTACCGAGAGAATGCTCTTCTTCAATGATTTCTCCGTGAGGCTTTTCCGCCTCGCCGGAGGATTGTCGCTTCTCGCTTTCAGGACGAAACCACCCCTGCTGTCGCCTACTCGACGATCCCTTCTATCGGTCGGTTCCGGGGTAGGCGCGACCGCGGCACCGTCGTCCGCGCTTCTCAGGGACGTTAAAGAAGCCCTTACTTGCTTCGAGGGTTTGTAATGACTTGCCAAACCGAAAGGCGCGCTCGCACGCATGCCGTACCCGTGCCTCATACCGTGATACCATTGTCCTTGATACGTGCCTGCGAAAAGTCATCCTCCCGTTAGTTTTTTCTCTGGATCGTTCGTTGATCTTGTTCACCTTGCGTTATCATTAATCACATGGACAGTCATTATGAATTATCAATTATGAATCACCGTACAATTAGCCTCAACTATTTAGAATTTTATAACAATTTATACGTAAGTCATATTTCTATCTAAATTGATAAGATGAATCAACTGCTGTTAGGAAAACGGGCTGTCGTAATTTGTACATGTGTTCCTGCGACCCGCGACTGCCGGTGCACGAGTTCGAACGTATGTAGCTGGAAACGAGGAATCAGGTTCGTGAAACGATCCCGCATGCAGACGGGATGTGACGAATCCCCGGGAACGTTTGCACTTGGTAATAAGGTGCATTGTTTTTGCCAAAACGTGACCGCGTTTCAAAATGTCCCGCATGAGTCACGTATATGCATAGGTAGCGGCGGGCGACGCGCGAACAAACGGTGTTACGCGCTCGCGACACCCGGGGATGGAATTCACATCGGTCTACACGGGATGTGGGTGAGAGCTACGCTCTGAAATACACTCTCCTCGTCTAAAATGTAAATTCCACGACGATGAGATACCGCAGACCGTCTGCAAACCGCCGACTTAACCGGATGGACGCGGATCGTAAAAAACTCGGAATTAACGACGTTTCGTGGAACGTTATCCACTCTGCCGACTATTTCGTCTGTCCATCGATGTCTGCTGGTCTTTCATCTACCGATAACTCATTGGATTTCGGAGTCTGGATCAATATGTTCATAGACGAATCGCGGCGCGTTCGTATAACTCTATCCGTGTAGGAATCAATCGAAACTCATTCGTTTCATCAATACATTTATTACCCCTTTACTATTTAGATACAGAGAGAAACAAAACCGATGATCAACAAAGTGGCTGCGCTCTATCGAATACCTTTTACATTCCGCGTCGCGCAACTCTCTATTATTCGAGCAACAATAATCATCAAAGCCGGCGCTTCGTCCCGCATTCGTCGGGCATTAACAAAGTGCCGTGTCGCGATTGCGAACGGTGGAACGATACATCGTCGTTTGTCGTGGAACGCTGTCGTGGTGCTTCTATTCCGTTTATGCTCGTCCGCGATTACAAAGCGACCCTCTTCACGGATTCGATTCCTATGTACAGTCGCTGACAGCGCGTTTCCTTCGATCGTCCGCGTTCTCCGACTTCCCTCTGCCACTGGGATTGATTTTTTAAAAATACTGCCTCCGAGCAGACTCGTCTCCTCGCTCCGACGGTTTCAAGTTTGCTAATTTCACATTTTAACATTAAATCGTATGTAAAAGATTTACGGGATGGTTATCGATACTCCGTTATAAATGAATGGTAATTCCCATCATCAAGCAACAAAATATATATAAGACATATAGATTGATAGTGTTCAGTTAAATAATATAATATGATGTACGACCACGTTTCCGGTTTTGAACGCGTTAATCCTATTCTCGAGTAATAAAACGTTAATTAGTAGAATTAGAACAGGCACGCGTCGAACTCTCCGTCGGCGTCGCGATCACCCGTCATTCTACGAGCATTAAAACATTAACGACGCAATTTATCGTGCGATCCATCTACTTACTAAGGTCGTTACGAGAAGAGCTGCTCGTCGCCCGCTGATCGATTGCGGAACGGCAGCTAGCCTCATTTTAGAAAAAGTAAGTATTCACGGGCGAAGAGAGAAAGAGAGCCAGGGAAATGGAGTCTGCGGGCTGCATTATTGCCGCCGACTGTACATATGGAAACGACCGAGTACGAGTCTCTCTCCTTCTCTTCCAAGCGGAATATTATTTCGCCAGCGTTTAAGCAAGTGGGTCACGCCGTTGCTTCTCGACGCGCTTCGGCTGCCGATCCCCTGGTCCACCGAAAATTACGCCCTCGTGAATCGCGCGTTTACGAACGCGATTCTCTAATTTCCACCTTTTCCCTCGTTCAATTAATTTCCCCTCGCAATACGGCCACTCGCGCCGGCTTCGAACGAATTTTCACTCTCGAGCTCTCATGCCGTTTTCAATCTTGTTTCCTTTTTCTTAAGAATTTCTGAATGGAATTTTAATCCTATCACGTTTCTCCGTACCTACCTTCGAATCAATAGGAACGAAATTGGATTTTAAGCGACGGTATTTCAATTTTCATAATAAATTACTGAATGACAGTAATACCGTACGGTCAATAGGTCATCTGTTTGCCTAAACCCAATTTCGGTTATGTTTGTCGCAATGTCAATTGCGCGTAATACACTTACTCCGAAGAGACATGTTTAATCGACAAAATTCCCTTTGATTCAGTATTCCAGCTGTACCTATGCCGTAATTCAAATTACAATTCGCGTGTTCCTAGCAGAATATCTTTACGAGCGAGCCTGGGTTAGATAGCTCGTTTCCTCGCAGGCTTTCAGAGAATTGTAATCGTGTTTCGTTTATACTTCTCTTGAGTGAACGTACCTTCATCCCGGTTTCACCTCGCAAAACTTAACGAACCTTCGTCATTGTTCTGAAGAACGTCATGGTTATTCACCGTCTTTAATTCTAATTCAATTATGGAGATTAGCCGTGGCAGCCTCAAAAACCTTCACTGCCCGAGAGTACGTGGATGGTTCCACGAAAATCTTAGCGGAATCGAGATTAAAGTCGCTCGTAGCAACGGGTCGGCTCGAGTTATTCGGGTCAACCCTTGCTCGCTTCTTCGAAACGCCTCGAGATAAAAAATCCCGTCTCGTCGATTCGAAACTGTTTACTGTTCACTGACAAGGAAAAATCCTTATCGAATCCATGCTCAAAATGTATGTGGAGCAATAAAAATAAAATGGCCGTACGAAGTAATAATCGATTATTTTCATATTTTATCTAACGGAGTTTTATACGAATCTCGAGTCGTAACGTGGAAAATGTTCGCGAAGCGCGGAGGAACTACAACTTTGAAACAACGACCCAAATTAATTATCGACCTTCTAATTTCGCGGCGCTTCGTCTAGCAACAGTCTGTTTCATCGAATGCGACGCAGCGTAACTAAAAGAGAGAAAGAGAGATCCTTCTCCGCGGAAACTTTTACTGGTTATTGAATTTCCGCCGCGTCTCCGCTTTACCCTCGCGACACGGTTGCTCCACTTCGCGAAACTCGATCAGCATCGAACTCCGTGCTTTCGTGCTAGTCCACTTTATCTTTACGACTTCTGCTTACTCCCCCGTTTAACGCGTTATCCGTTTTGTTCCCTTCCGTTGTATCAAGCTCCTTTTTATATATAGGGACATTAATTGGCTTTTGTATTACTCATTGCGTTCAATTATGTTCCTTGTAAATACTGCGAATTTTTACATAAAATATTAATGTTTCTAATGTCTATTCGAAAATGATTTAGATTTCGTTTATCCTTAAAAAATAGTGACGTGTATATGACATGGTTTATGCTCTGCACAGTTTTATACGTAACATGCTTTCTTACATTTTCTGCACATCTTTCTATGAATGCAACAAATCTATAGCCTACTGATAAAACTTTGTACACGTGTACAGAACATTTGAAACAGAGAATATGTTTTCTTTTTTATTGAAGACATGACTTGTTTCCACATTACTTGACGAATTGATCTTTCTAACATAGCAAAGAAAATTAAATTGTTGGCGTCCACATTGAAAAAGTCGTTCCTTGTCAAAAAGTGACCGAATATGGACGTTAATCATTGTTGATATGTGACCCCTCCTTGGAGCATAGGTGTTTTCGAGATCGTCCTTAAAGAAGTGTTTGCTATACGGTCGTTCCTCTATTTATCAAACGTCCAACTCCGAGCCGGTTTTCTATTTACCCTGCCTTCTCATGCGAACGGAGAGCCCAACCTGTTCCGTATAGGTTACGAGGGTGAAGACCCTTTCTGGCTTATATCCGTCGCGCATGATGTATCGCGGCTATTGAGCCGCACGAAACTTTCCTTCGACCGGCGCGTCTGGTAGAAACTATGTACGTACCAGGGAGATACCTCGCGCAAAAGTAATCGTCGGCTGAAATTTTCGCCCGTTGAGAAATTAATCGCCAACGCCTGCCTTTTTTCACTCACTATGCTCGTTTTTATACCTAATACCAGAGTCTGTTAAAAATTTATCGCACCCAATGCAATTTCACGTCTGTTAAACAATCGCGACGTCCATAAAAAGCCGACTTCTGTAAATAAATTATATCAGCTAATAAGTAAACTGCGGATTTTATGCATTTCTAGAAATAATCGACCTGCACAAAATATTAAGAATGTATGTAGCATAAAAAAGGTATCTCAAACTGCATGCATGTCATCTAAATGGTGAAGAAATTCTATTTAGATCACATTTTTTTAATTAACAATTACATGTTTTATTCTGCATAAGAATCCATGGTTTATTGATAAGATCCAGACTATAATTAATTCTGTTCGTACAATTCCAATCCGACGTACGCCTTCGAAGCGGCTGTCGATTCTTTGTCAGAAATACGGGGGCTCTTTCAATAAAATTCTTAACTCTCGGGTAAACAGAAGTGGTCGTACGGTCCTGTTTCGCTACATGGCACTGGCTGGCCCGCCTGAAATAGCTTGGCCACCGTCTAAGGTGGTGGCCGCGTGCACGTGCAATGATAATCGCGGATGTGCTGGTGAGAATTGGCCGTGCGAGTGTATTTCGGTCCGCAGCTTCCACCAGATCGCCGCTAACCACCCCACGGGACTGGTACCATGCTCGTTCCTGTTTCTTTCGAACGATACCTGAACGCATCGCGAGCCGATGACGGCGGTGACACCTAGCCAGGTCGGATTTCGTCTCTGACCTCGCTTCTTTCAAAGTTCTCGCGGTTTTCGAAAGATACGAAATGCTCGAACCATTTGCATCGTCGTTTGCCCGACCGATTCGACTCGGTAAACGACACGAGATTATTTTTAAACAGAGTAACGGATTATTAGAAGCGAGAAATTTTATTTGCCTCGAAGTCGTTTTAAATTTTTTATACAA